TTGTGTTCTTTCCTTTATAAATTGTATTCTTTATGTAGCTGTTTTAGTGCTTTTGTTTCTTGTCAAAATAAACATTAATTCCAGTGACATCTGGTCATTTTCAGATAGCTGGCTAGCTGTGTATTTTTTGTTTTCCTTCTGACCACCTTGTTTTTTCCCCCATTTTTACCTTTTTAATTCATTTATTTTGCTTCTTTATATATCCCTGTACTCTTTATTGAGATACTAGGGAAAAATCTCATTTTAGTGCTAAAACATTTAGATTTGGTTTCTGTCTGTACCTTGATTTTAGTATATGAGTTGGTTTAAGCTACTAACTGTGTTAACTTCTGCTTTTTAATTATTTTCAAGGAATATGAAAATGTTCGTCAGGAATATGAAGAAGTAAAACTAGCTCGTGACAGAGTGAAGGATGAGGTCAAAAAACTTAAAGAAGGGCAGATCCCTATTACAAATCGAATTAAGGAAATTGAAAGGCAACGCTGTGATTTGGAGGCTCAAATCAAAGAAAAGGTATTTTTTCATTTTGGATAATCTGATTTTTAACTTTGCAAACACAAAAATTATTTTTAGTTCATTCAGAGTATTTTCTAGGGTGTACTTTATTTTGATATAGAATCTTGTGAAGTTTCTAGGTTGCCCAGGCTGGGCTCCAAGTTGGGATTCCTCTACCTCATCCTGTTACTGGTCTGCGTTTACAGGCATGTGCCACCACTCCAGACTTGAAATGGGATTGTTTTAAGTACAGAATGATTTGTAACAGTAACCTAGAAACATTGAGCTCCTTCCGTGAATTTATTGCATCTGCTCTGTTGCAATAATTCTTCCATTCTGAGGATACAGAAAATCATGTATTTCCTATAATAGCTAGTATAATCATTTTTTATTTTAAAAATGTAATTTTAAACCAGGTATGGTAGTGTACACCTACAATCCCAGCACGTGGGAACTTGAGAGAGGAGGATGATCATTGTGAGTTCAAGATCACCTAGGGGCTACAAAAGTGAGCACAAGGCCAGCCTAAACTGCCTAGTGAGACCCTGTCTCCAAAACAAAACAAGTGTAACTAAATTGTGTATGGTCATCTGGGAATGTCGCTTAGTGGTACAACACTTGCCAAGCATGCTTGAAGCCATAGGCCAGTTCCCAAAACTATAAACATAAATAAATAAAAATTGTTTATGGGGCTGGCCAAGTAGCTCAGTGGACTAAAGCACCTGCTTAGGCAGGTCAGCATCTAGGGGTTTGATCCCTGGAGTACCATGCCGGCCCCGCCCCTGGGCACGCTGAGATGGTGATTGAGACTGGGCATGATGGCACTCGCCTGTAATCCCAGTACTTGGGAGGCTGAAAACAGGAGGATCACTATGAGTCTGATCTGTGTAGTAAGACCCTGTAGACCCTGTACTAAAAATACAGAAAAAAAGGAGGGTAGGGGAGTTGTTTATGATCATGACTTAACCTTTAAGGACTTTAAGGTCAAAGACTTCCCAATAAATGTCTAAAACCGCAGGTATTCCTGGGCCCTGTATATTTTGAGTGTCTTTTTTATGCAAAGTACTTTGGGCCAGAAGTGCTTCATATTCAAGTTTTGGTGATTTTAGAATATTTGCATAGATTTTTCTGATTGGGCAGTTTTTAGTGCTTTCTTTTCCCAGTCAGTCAGAAAATCCAAAAATCTGAAACTTCTTAGGTATCTTGTTGGTGCTCAAAATGTTTCAGATTTGAGTGGTGTTGTAGATTTGGACTATGAATGCTCAACCTGTATATGTTACCTTTTTTCCCCTATGCTTACTGTTAGCTGGTTTTTGTTGCAATGACAAAAAATATCTAATATAAACAGCTTAAAGGTAGATTGTTTATTTTGGCTTCCGGTTTCAGACATTCAAGATGATTGGCTGGATCCCTTGCTGTGGACCTGAGATGAGGCAGAATACCTTAGTAAAGCATATTCACCATATGGCAGCTAGAACAGAGAGGATATATAGGCAAGAGCCAGAGAGGAAGAGGCTATGGACAAGAGAGGTCCCCAAGAACAACTCCCTTTGAGTAGGCCCCTCCTCCCTTCAGTATTAATTAAGCTTCACTTTTGTTAAAAACGTTACCCATAGCTCTTTTATCTATAGATGTATCATATATTTACGGATGTGTGTATGTTAAGCAGTGCTTATTGAGTAAAAAAGGCCGAGCTGCAGTTAGCTCAGCATTCCAAGCACCTGCCTAGCAAGCTCCAGGACTGGTTTGGATCCCCAGTCCCACATGCTGTGCCAGCCCTGCCTTTGAGCTACAGAGTGAGACCCTGTACTAGATATATAAATTTTAAAAAAAGGTCGTGTCTAGGAATATAAAGTGTAAAAAAAGGAAAAGAATTACTAATTTTGATTTTCGTACTATCATATCAGAAAAGCTCCACTATATTTTAATTTTAGTATGCGTTAGTGACATAGAACTATTAGGCTCAAATCTTGAAGACTGTATAGTTATTAAAACTTGGTTGGATCTTAGTTTAAGAGAATTACTATTTTATCATTTTAATTTTAGAGCAAAAGAGGATTGTAGGTATTGTTGTCTAGAGAAGTTTCTTAACTGTATAGTTAAGGATTCTAAATGCCAGAGATAACATGACTTCTTGAGGGATTGAGCTAAGTTATTTCACATTAATTGTGGTTATAGGTAAGTTGTGGGTTTCTAATAGCTTTTTTTCAGGTGCTGGGGAGATGGCTCAGTGGAATAAGAGCTTCCCTGGCAAGCACAAGGGCCTGAGTTCAATCCCTAGTTCCTCAAAAAAAAAAAAAAAAAAAAAATAGTTACTAATACCTTTTTTCATTCCTGAATTTACTGCTAAACTACTTTTTTTTATAGTGCAAGAAATCTATACAGTAAATTTCAAGTCTTTTAAGTAAATAATCATTTAAAACCCTGTGTTTCTTGTCAGTTCCTAACATAAGCCCAAATGTTAAGGCAGTGAGCCTAATTTGTTTCTGTTTATGTAACCTGAGATATTTTAGAATTATTTTCCTGAAGCAGTGTTCCTAGATTGTGCAGTAACACAATCCTGTATTTTAAAAAATAAGTTGTCAGTAACCCTAACCATGTAATAAGAATAAAATGGTTAATTTCGTTTAGTATTGATGCTGTTCTTGTTCTTGCACCCCCTGTTTCAGCAGAAAGCTTTTTCCAGTACTTAATTTAAGATTGTTTTTAACATTCTATGGAAGTAATACAATGTTATAGACAAGGCACCAACTTTGAATTCACATAGAACTATACTTTAAATCCTTCTCTTGTCATTTAATAACTGTCTGACCTTATGTTATATGTTAAAAAGCAGCAACATCTGCTTGACTATCCCGTAAGACTGTTTTCAGGATCATAAAATAACGGAAATAAATATGAAGAGTAATCATATGCATGCATATTACAGCTTTTCTAGAATTTCCTGTACTGTTGATATTTTGGTACTATGTAATTACAAGTTATGTAAATAAATTGTGGGGAAGGCATTGTTACTCATGTAACATTATTTGGGTGATTGGGACTACATAACTGAATTGAATTTTTAAATAATTGTTTTTCCTCTCACAGGCAGCAGAGATTAAGGAGACATCTCAAAAATGCAAACAAAAGCAAGATGTTATAGAACGAAAAGATAAACATGTAAGCTTTCCTACTGGAATTTTCGTTATCTTAATTCTGCCCTGTCTGGATAATGGATTGAATTCTTGTTTGGAAGTTGTCGAAGATTTTCCTTGTTCTCTATTACTTATGTTAATTTCTAAAGGAGATTTAAGATTTGGGCATATACTAGTCATGTAGAAGATCATGGGAAAATTTCTCAAAACTACGATTTTTAGCTAATCTCATAAGTGGTAAGGTTTTTTTAAAAAAAAACTCATAATTTTCATTTATTTAAGGTTACTTGTAGATTATAGTTGTTTTTAATTTCTATAGCTATGTAGATTGGGGAGAGGGATTCATGGGGATTGAACCCAAGGCTTTGCTCCATTGATGAAACCTGGTTCCTTAGATACAGAATTTAAACTTTGTTTGAAATGTTTTCCTTTTTGTATTTGTGGCTATAGATCTCTGTATGTGTATGTTAGATTAGGCTTAATATAATTGTATTACTTAAATGTGCTACTTTTTTTAACTAGTTGATGAGTATTTTTCATGTTAATACTGTATTTCCTACAAGTACAGATTTGTATTTTTCTTTTACATATAT